CAGTGAGCTCCTCCAGACAACTCTCCATACATCTTTGAAAGACTGCCGGGGCATTTGTGAGTCCAAATGGGATCCGATTCCATTCATACAAACCCCATGGAGTGATGAAGGCTGTCATGTGCTTGCATTCCTCGGAAACAAATCCTTGGTGGTACGCCTTCCCTTGATCGAGGGTGGAGAACCACTGGTTTCCTCCAAGGCTGTCAAGGACATCTTGTATCCGGGGGATGGGTTGTCTATCGGGAATCGTCTTTGCATTCAGTGCCCGATAATCTATGCATAGTCGTAATGATCCATCACGTTTTCTGACACACACCACTGGAGAGGAGTAAGGGGATGACGACTTCCGTATCCATTCCCTTCTCAACAAACCCTGGATGTAGTCCTTTACTTCACGAAGGAGGGGGCGGGGGATTGACATGTACGTTTTCTGCACTGGGACTTGATCTGAGAGGTTGATTTTCATGTGGAGATCACTTATCTTCCCAATATCTTCATCTCCTGTAGAAAATGCATCTTTTTCTCCTCTCAGCATTTCCAGTACAGTGGCCTTTTGGGTGGAAGATAGATGATCAAGTTGGAAGTTTGAGAGCCAGTCACCGTCAGCACACGTGGCCTTGACTTCACCAACTGTTGCGTCGTCGTTAGGTGGGATGGGTTCAAGGTCAGCGATTGACTCCAGTGAAGCAATTACAGTCTGCTTGGGAAGGAAGACATTTCCTTTGGTATTGTTGGTCACCATAACCTTGACCTTGCTGAACTTGCCATTTCCTATCTCCACAACAGTGGGTTGCACTTCCAACGATTCGAGCAGTGAAGGGTCCAAGGCTGGTTCTAGCAGGGCGGTGATACCTTGTAAGCATCCGGCGTGAATCTTGCAGGTGATGGCAGAGGTACCCGGGGGAATGCACCGTGTTCTCCTTCCAGATTTCACTGGTCGGGCCGGTGTCTGATCGGGCGTAGTTATTATGTCAATAACGGCATTGACTGTTGGTTGAGGGTGATGTGGAAGTACTGCAGCCATGAGTGCAATAACATCTTTGGTTGATGTGTGGGAGTTGGTAACAACTTCTGCAATCACGTTGTACCCAAGTATGATGTGGCTATTTGTGCTGGATGCGGTCACGAGGAAAGGTACTATGATTTCTGCCTTTCTTGGACTGTTCAAAGACACGCATAACTCCACATATCCAAGGAAGGGTATGGTTGTGTTGTTGGCTGCAGTCAGGTGTAGTGGGCTGTCAGGGAATAAGCTTGCAATAGGTTGTATCTTCTCCTGCGGGTGATGCCGCTGTAGCCATTCTTGAGACATTACCGAAACTTGCGCTCCTGTATCCCATAGCGCTTCCGTCTTCTCTCCCCCGATGTGGCATGTGAGATTACATTTTTCACCCACCAGTTGTGCAACTCTTTTCCCATTCCCTGAGGCGTGGAAGGCATTTATTGATTGCCGGGACGTGGTTGGTTTGGGTGCTCCATGTCCCGTTGGGGCACCCTGTTGCCGTTTCCCTGCTTTCTGCAGCCCCTTGCGAAATGCTCACTGCTGCCGCATCTGAAACAATGGGAACAGCTGTCCCCCTGACCGGCTTCTTGGCAGCTGGGACATCCTCGTCTACGACGCGGATATGAAGGAGGCTGTGGAGGGGTGTAGGTTTTCATTTCGGTCTGCACAATGGACCTTATTGCTGCCTTCATTTGCTCCCAGTCAGTTAAGCTCTTACGGCCCTCATCTTTCGTTGGGTTTTGTTCTTTGGGTTTCGCTTCCTGTTCTGGGTGTGCCGAAACCTCATTTACGGGGCTGGTATGGCTGGGTTTCCGGAACAACTTCTGCCGTCGCTCTGCCTCGTGCCCGACGGCTACGGTCAGGGTTTCCAAGAGGGCTTCGTCGGGACCATCACCCACAAGGAAGGGGTTCAACTCCTGTCTGATGATGTCGTTCTGAAGACCTGTTGAGACAGTATGCAGGAACATCCGTTAAACTTGCTCTTCTCCATAGGTGACGCCAGAGCCAGCTTCCTTGCAGGCAAACAAGATCTTTTGTCTTAAGTCCATTGCCCTCAGAACAAAGTCATGTTCGGTCTCCTTCCTATCCTGTGCAGCCGTGGATAGTTCCTGAAAGAGAGCTGTGGCGTCCTTCTCACGGTAGTGTGAGCGCAGGATCTTTCGTAGCGTAGGGAGATCAAGCCCTGCTCTCCCTTCCAGGTAGCTCCTGAGTCGCAGGCCAGGGCTTATAGACCTTATGACCTGCTCCGTCACCTCCTCCTCTGTGAATCCCTTTCGCAGTCCGCTGTCAACCTGGCGAATCAGGCTGGAAAATGATAGGCGGTCCTTCTGCTGGGGCTCTCCTATCTGCCCCATTATCCTAAACTCTCGACGAAGGGATACGTTTCCGATATGGAGGGGACGCAGGGATTCTTCTATTGTAGACTGGGGCGTTTGATTGGTGTTGTGCTCCGGCTGGCCACTTGGTATTTGGGCAGGCTTTTCATCAGGACCCTCCCCATTTACCCTCTTAACCAGTACCTCCTTAACACTCAACCATACTGCCTCACCTTCGTCTTCATGATCCTCAACCTCTTCACTGCTCAGGTAGCGTTGGAGGAGCCGTAGCAGTCCCGCCAGTCCCTTCGCCTTAGCCTTAGTGATGTCTGCCTCCAGGAGTTCTAGAGTCTTAGCCACCTCGATGAGCTCCTCCTCAGTGCCCGCCTTCAGCATCCCGAGCACATCGGCCATCAACTCCCCCATATTAGCCATCTTGTTGAGACTGTGCAGTTTGGGTTGTACGTAGCTAAGTTTACTGCCTCCTTGGGGTAGACGTCGCCAAGCCGCGGTCTGGTCCGATTAGTTTGGATGATGCCTAGCTAGTAACACTGCAGGACAGCTGCAGACATTACAGGACTATACACCATCCGGGTGGTGCTTCCAGAAATGTAACGCCCCTATACGGGTACAGGGGGCTAAAATGATAAAAGATGAGAAGAACACAATTACTCCGTTCTGAATGTATTTCTCTCTCAAATTATCTCTTACTTGTGAAATAACATATCAATCATAATCTCAAAAGTGTCACTCAAAAACATTCTTATAGCAAATCATTCATTATATAAAAGAAGCTTACCTAAAATGATAAAAGATGAGAAGAACACAATTACTTGGTTGTGAAAATGGCGTCAGCATGTGGAATGGCCACAATCACACCCTACCCATTGTTCTCTCATCTCGAGTCTCCATTTTTCAGGGGGGAGGGGAGTTGAAGCTCCTCAAGAGGTGCAAATTGAGCTTGATACTTGTGAAGGGCTATATTTTGGTACATGTATGCTCAAATAGTAGTTATATCTTTTGGTTAGGTTATTTTCCAATTGCATTGAATAAAACAGAAATGGGGGGGGCATAATTAAACAGACAAAACAAACAAGTCTGTTTGATCAGGATTACATATAGATACCACGCAGCGCTTAGCAACCAGTCCACGGTTACACGGCGAACAAGGGATGGGGATGGGGATTGACGCCTGCTACGTTTACAATATTACAGATTGCTCGTCTGCAATGGCGAAGATAAGCAAACAGAGAGAAAAAAAGCCAGGTAAATAACACATGCACACGCACGCGCATGCGCGCACAGCACGCAGGCACGCTCGCCATGAAGGCACACGCAAACACACGCATGCACGCACGCACACACACGCAAGCACGCACGCATGCACACACAAACATACGCACCCGTACGCGCAAACGCACGCACACAAATACACGCAAACGCACGCACAGGTACGCAAACACGCACGCACACGCGCACCCATACAATGACCCATATTTAGTTCGCTGTATCTTATGTACAAATACAAGGGACAGTCCCTGGTTCCCATGTCTGTGTCTTATGTCCTTCTTTGCTCCGCAGTGTACGCAGTACACATACTACTAATCGACGAACTATAACTGCCATTTTAACCCTTTTACCTAATATGCGTGTTCACACGATGGTCTCATATACGCACGCACGAACGCACACACGCACGTCTGTGATACTTATATACTATATAAATGACTCGCATAAATATATAAATAAATGAATAAATATATATAAATATATATATAGAAAATATTGAAATGACAACAACTGGAGACATAATTATGCACTAAAGTTTTCACTTTATTAGCTCTTTGAAAAAAGTGAATTGTCTCGTTGTCGTCATTTCAATATTTTCGGTGTAATTTAACTTGCATTTGAAAACCTGAACTTCTTATATATATATATATATATATATATATATATATATACTGGACAAAAGCCCGGTCATAGAATCCCCGAATCCGTGCCGGAGGTACACGGAGGGATGGAATAAGGAGACTTGTGACAGCTAGAACACTGACCCAGAATGACTATGACATAGGGGCCAGAATCACGACTCATGGAGATCAACATCGTAACAGCGCGGAAAGGGAGGGGCGCGATCACCGCCACGCATATTAGTTAGGGGAGATAGCAGTGGCAATCCGCACTCTGCCGGCTTGTCGGGAGGGCCGGTTGGTCAGAAGGGGAGCTAAATGGGAATCTGTGACGTAAGGGAAGAAACGCGATCGCGGACACGGGGCGCGCCGTATCAATAGGCGAAGCCACCGTTCTCGGGAGGCTTCTGGGGGCCAGCACCCGCTGAGAAAGGTGTAGTGTGTAGTACACGCGTCATCTTGCTTTCGGTAGTGCACAGAAACCTCATGTATTGTATAAAAGATTGAGTAAACACCAGTGAACGTTACTTCTTGTCTTGTCTTGTCTCTATCAGTCTACTACAGACCTTCTACTAAGGTAGTGCGAATCAAATGTCTACAATATATATAAGAACCACTTCAGCCTGAAACAGAAAATCACGGGTTTTTTATGCGGGTGTTTACTGTATTCACGCCGTAGTAAATAGAATTGCTCGAAAACCCACACACACATATAGTCTAACGCACTTGGAACTATTTGTAATTGATAACTGCGTTTCGGCGGGGATATCTGCTTGTCACGAGGGTTCCTTTTGGACGTATATATTATATATAATCTACGTTTTCTAAAATTAAAACTTTCTGCGTCTGCTTTTATATTAACTAACGCCTGCAATACGAGTCGGATAAGTGAAACAATATGAAGCATAAATTTGGCCAGCTCGGCAGCAATTGCGCATTTGCAGATTTATTTGGTAACCAACTAGACTGTATATATAATATATTGTTGTGATAAATAATAAAACGTGAGATGAGTTACAAACTGAATAACCTGTCAATTTTTTTTATAATAAAATGCGGTAAATTTGTCACAAACGATTTCGCTTCTCGCATTATTGCCAACTAACAAACAATAGTTTAGCATAAATCCCAAACAGTCGCGTCAGTAATCACTACATTAACGTCTTATATATATACAGGCGCGCAAATCCATTTTGAAATGGGGGGGACACCAGTAGCGAGCACGCGAAGGGGGGCCCTCCCCCAGAAACATTTTGAAATCAGACCCCCTCAGCTGCGTTTTCTGCGCGAGCAGGCGGGGTCGTCCGGACCCCCTGGACCGACCCCCCTTCCCTGTGCACGCCCCTGCACACACACACACACACACACACACACACACACACACACACACACACACACACACATCAAGAAATCAAAAAGCAGAAAACCAATCATTTGGTGTTGAGGCTGATCACAAAATAAATTGATTCGTTATTATTGTTGGTCCAGTTATATCATATATTCGTATATATATATCATCAATTTGCAATGAAAATTACATTATTAAAACCGATGCTCAGTTACTCAGTGTCCTCTTGCGTGAATATAGCTCGTGTTCCAGTCTTAATTTTAAATCATGTCTAATGCGAGTGATATCTCCTAAACTTTCATAAACATACTTTCTCTTGATGATTTCTGCATAAGAATGATTTAATATAAGAAAAAAAAACATGTTAAAAAAGAAACGATACTAAATTTATCAAGACACATTGTTTTCTTAAGTTGTTCATGATCATTATTATGCTCTCAAGTGCACTTGAATAAAATAAAAGCTGTCAAAAAAAAGGGAAGAAGCCAATCGTTGACGCACTATCACACACAATAAAAAATTCTCACTTCACAAACACACCACACACAACACACACACCACACACACACACACACACATACCACACACACACACACCACACACACACACACAACACACACACACACTTACACACACAAATCATGGTGATACAAAAATCCGTGGGTGGGGATATTTTGATATGATGTCCCCCCTCTGAAATTCGTGGGGGACATGTCCCCCTGTTCCCCCTGGGTTTGCGCCCCTATATATATATATANCAACCAACAAGAAGGAATTGCAGAGATTCCTAGGAATGGTGACATATCTAGCAAAGTTTGTGCCTGATCTGTCTACGGAGACAGCACCGCTCAGATCACTCCTACATCACAAAACACAGTGGGAATGGCAGCACGAACATGAGAAAGCCTGGACGCGATTCAAAGACTTGCTATCTAGTGAACCAGTGCTGAAGTTTTATGACCCAAAGAGACAGATCAAGATGTCAACAGATGCTTCACAGTCAGGTTTAGGGGCTGTATTGCTGCAGTTTTATGATGGTGAATGGTGTCCTGTGGCATATGCTTCGAGAGCCATGACGGAGACCGAAACCCGTTACGCTCAGATCGAAAAGGAGACTCGGTAAAAAGAATTGAAAAGTATTGTATTCGGGTGTGAGCGTTTCCACCAGTATATTTATGGACAGAGTATCATCGCAGAGACCGACCATAAACCGCTTGTGTTTATCTTCGCAAAATCACTTGCTGATTGTCCGCCGAGAATCCAGCGACTGAAATTGCGACTACAGAAGTATGACCTGAAAATCACGTACACACCAGGGAAACACATGTACGCAGCAGATACATTGTCACGGGCATACATGAAGGACACAGGAAACAGTGACATTGACATTGAGGTGCAAGCGTACATTGATGGAGTCAAATCAACAACCAGTGTGTCGGAGTCACGCATGAAAGAAATCCAGGATGAAATGCAGAAAGATGCAGATCTACAGCTGCTGATGGTCACTATATTGAGTGGATGGCCAAACGACAGAGTGACTTGTCCAAGTCAAATTCTGGAATACTGGAACTATAGAGATGAACTGTCGGTGATTGACGGGATTATTTTCAAAGGGAGTCGAATTTTAATTCCCAAAAAACTCAGAAGTGAAATGCTGAAAAAGATTCATGTTGGACACCTCGGGATCGAGAAGTGTCGAAAACGTGCACGCGAAGTCCTATTTTGGCCAATGATGAACTCCGACATCGCCAATGTGGTCAAAGATTGTGAACATTATCTCACACATCGAAGCCGTCAACAAGTAGAGCCATTAGATCCTCATCCGATTGTAAGTCGACCATGGGAGAAAGTGGCAACCGACTTGTTTTCATACAGTGGTCGAGACTATCTGCTAGTAGTTGACGCGTATTCGAATTATCCAGAAGTCGCTGTGTTGTCAAACGCAACTAGCAGATCTGTGATTAACTCACTGAAGTCTACATTTGCCAGACATGGCGTACCAGAGGACGTGTTCGGAGACAACGGACCATGTTATGACAGCGCTGAATTCAAACAGTTTTCGGAAGACTGGGGTTTCAGACATACTACCTCAAGTCCAAGATACCCCAACTCCAACGGACTAGCCGAACGCACTGTACAGACAGTGAAGAACATTATTCGTAAATCCAAGGAAAGCGGCGAAGATCCTCAGTTAGGACTACTTGCTTATCGAAGTACACCGATGGAGAATGGCTATTCTCCAGCACAGATGTTGATGGGTAGAAGAATTCGCACAAACCTGCCCATTCGTACAAACCTACTGGAAACAAACACCAGCCAGAGAGTCGTCAAGAAGAAAGTGTTGTCGCAAAAGAAACAGAAACACTATCATGACCGTGGAACTAAGCAGCTTCCTGCTCTTGAACCCAGTTCCCGTGTTAGAGTGTTGAGCGACGATGGAAAAATCTGGCGCGAAAAAGGGGTAGTGATCAGAGAAGTCGCAAACAGGTCGTTTATGATTCAGACTGACAGAGGGTCTGATTTGCGAAAAAATCGATCGGTATTGCTAAAGCCCAACGAGCCTCTGCCAAGGCC